TTATTAGCATCAAAATGACTCCAAAATTGAGGCAAAAGCTTATCTTGATACTTTTAAATGTCCTGAATAAAAGTTATTCCAATTAGTAAAATTACCTTTCAAAAATTCAACACATTTTGACACGTGGTTATAGTATACTATGGTTTTCAACAGTTCTACTGATCCGTAAATTTTGTGGGGGTGTAATAAAAACAAATGGGTGGGGCTGCACATTTGTGGCTTGCTTTCAGGATTCATCTTCTTTCTTCAAGACTACAAGGAAAACAGCGCAGGAAATTGCCAGAAATTATTTTATTATCAGATTAAGTGAGTTAATTATTGTGAATAACAGTGAGATTATTCACTTTCTCATAGGCAGCAATGGCAGAAAACACAAGTCCAGCTATCACTATGACTTGTGAGGTTTGTTCAGAGTATTACACTGACCCCCTCATGCTTCCCTGTCTTCACTCATTCTGTAAGAAGTGTCTAATAAAAGCTAAAGAGAAGCAAGGTAGTGCTGATACCTCATTAAAGTGCCCAACGTGTGACACTAGCATTAATTTACCTGATGGTAAAATTGAAGGCCTCACTCAAAACCTTTGGTTTGAACATAAATCAAAAGAGGCTTCGATCAAAAGGAAAATTGTTAGCAAGGAAGTAACATCATGTGATAAATGTATCATTGATGATTCCAGTGATGCAGCTGTCGTGTATTGCTGTGATTGTGGCCAGTTTCTGTGCGATCTTTGCAAGAAAGTTCATAAGCGAAGCAGGAAAGAAGCCAATCACAAGTTGATTGATTTAGAAACAAAGGAATCCATTGAACTGCCTACTGTCAAGCATGAAGCCATTTATTGCATCCAACATTTAGAAAAGCTGACATACTACTGCAAGGATTGTGATAAATTAGTTTGTCAGATTTGTCTTAACATTCATCATAAAAGTCACAACTACAATTATTACATAGATGAAGGAGATACAGCACGTAAAGCATTAAAGGAAAGTGTTGCTAGTTGTGATAAAGTCATTCCTCCAGTCACCGAAGCTATTGCTAATGGAGAGAAGATGCTAGAGCAGATAGCAACACATAAAGAAGAAATGAGGCAGGAAATCAAGGAAACGTTTGAAAAGCTTAAAGCTGCTTTAGATAAGAGATGCAATGATCTACTAATGGAGACAGAAGAGATTGCTGGCACTAAGAGAAATTCTGTCGAGAAGCAGTTGGACAGGTTTCGTAAACTGGTAAAACAGGTTTCTCATGGTCGTCATCTTGCATCGTCAGTGAGTGAGCGTACTGATCCAGGTGAAGTTCTCAGTGTTAAGAAGCTAATCACCAATCAACTGGAGGAATTTATTGAAGAGAGTAAGAAACTACCTCTAGAAATAGAAGATAAAAAAGTAGTTGTAGCACGCCTTGATATACTTACTTTAAGTAAAGAAATCAATGAGTTTGGAAGTGTCTCCGAGGTTTATATAGATCCAGCTGCATACTGCATTGATAGTGGGTTAGCTATTCCATTGGCAACAGTAAAGAAAAAAAGGAAATTCAAAGTGGCCCTACCAGCAGGCATTGATAAAGCAGCAAGCTATTTGAAGGCTTCCTTTATCAAAAGTGATGGTAGTAAAGAGGAGGGTAGAGTTGTTATAGCTAATGATAACAACACAGCCATTGTATCATGCACACCTCAAAGTATTGGTGGATATGAACTATCAGTGACTA